TGGGAAGAGCCCGGGTGCGACCGGGCGGATGTGCAGGCCTCAGCAGCGGCAGGAGGAGGCCATGTTAGCGCCCTTTTGTCTGTACTGCCCGGCCTCCTTCACGGGCGCAGGCGGGGCCGGGCGGGGGGCGCTGCGGCCTGCGCGGAGCAGTGGGACCCCCCCTCCTGGAGCAGCATCCGCGGAGCCTCATTGTGCTCCGCCGCCGCCATGATGCTTCGCCGCCTTCTGGTCTCGGGGCAGCTGCTGGTGCTTGCTGCTGCCCAGCCGCGCAGCGCGGGGATGGAGCGGCGCTTTCTCCGAGGCTGATGGAGCCCGCCCGACTGGGGAGCCACGCGCTACTCGTATAGGATCGGGATGCAGCTGCTTTCCCCTCCCCACGTGCGGTCCTAACAGCCCGTGTGCACAGAGAGGTCGGTACTCGGTTCTCCGCACCATGGGATCTTAGCCTCGCGTTTCTGTTCCACGCGGTCTGGCTGGGGCTGTGGAGGTGCTCATGGCAACGAGTCTGCCGGCCCGTAGCTTTTCTCTGTGCCCGGTTCCTGTGCTGTTTTCACCCACGTGCTTCCCGCACCTGAGTGTTCGTATGTAACGGGGTGGAGAGAAGACAACACCAATCGAGCTATCCCCGGCTGCACGACGGGACTGGTGCTTGACTCTGAGACGACCCCCCCCCCCCGAAAACAAATTCCCCATAGCACCACAGGCTAATGGTGGGATGCCTGCTCCTCACTTTTACAGCTGCTTCCCCACTGCCTTTCATTAAACTTAAAACAAGTTAGGCCAATCGCCATTCATTCCATAATCAAGACCTCCAGCAGCTTCTGCCGAGTTAAAATTCTGAGTAGAAAATATCGATTTCTTGATGGTTTTGATATGTTAATATTTGGGGGGGGGTTCAGTTCACTTATTCAATTTCTGTAAAGGTGTTGAGTTCAGAAAGAATGGTTTGGTGTATGATTTTAGTAAAATAAGATCCTATGAAAAATTACTAAGTGTATATGAATATACACTTATATTCATAGCATGATGCAACCTGCTTGAATAATTTAAAAACAAAAAGGAAAGCCAAGTTTTACAGCAGTCTTCAAAGACTTTGCTTCACAAGTTGAGTTAGTAAAAACACTAGTTTTACAAGGTCTGGTGAGCTTTATAACCTCAAAAGGAAACAGTTATTTAAATGCCATCCAGAATACTGGTAAAGGTTGTAAAAGTAAACTTTTTTGATTGTCAAGTGGTGATGTGTTATTAAGACCTCCTTTCAAGAACTTATGGAGTTTGGATTTATCTTTCAGAAAAAGAGCAACAGGAAGCAATTGAACATATTGATGAAGTACAGAATGAAATAGACAGGTAAGTTATACCTTTTTTGTAATGTGTTTAAATTTATGTTTTAGCAGAAGGGGGGGGGGGGGCTTGTAACAAAAATACTGAAGTAGTCCCTGTAGTTGTATTCACTTTCTGAATAAGGATTTGATACGATTAAAAATAAAAATCATGTATGTGTGCTCAAAATGTGATGGAATATTTAGCTATTGATGGTCCTATTTAGCAGCATACAATTAAACTAGTGGGGCATTAAAATAGAACTTGATTTTAACACCTGAGATTCATTGTGATTACTATAAAATGATTGATGTTATAGCTCTGTCCTCTTGCAGGTTAATATTTAATTGTGGGGTTTTTGGAAAGCAGAACTGAAAATTGATTTAGCAGAATATCAAGCTTTCATTAACAATGTAAACACCAAATTCTTAGATGTGTGGTTTTTATAAAATCGTATCAAAATTTACATTGGAGTAGTAAGCTATGTATCTTTTCAGATTCCTGTTAGGTTATGTCCTGATGCCTGCTTCTCACTAGCTCCCTAAACCAACTAATGAACTTCCCAACTGGACACAAGGGTCTACCCAAGAAGAGCAGTTGCAAGATTAGGGCCTTACTGTGTAACACATCTTTTTTTGATGCAGCGGGGAGAACTCTGATATTAATTAAAAGGTTTTCTTTGTGGCACACAAATTTGTTTGGCTTTTATCTTGTTTCTTTGGTAAATAATAGGAAGAGAGGCAATGATCTTGAATCGTGTGTAAAGGTTCACCAGTCTTTAAACTAGATATTTAGAAATTTCATTAGAGCCTAATCTTGCAACTGCCACACATCATATGGTTTACTAGTAGTGTAGTTTGTCAAGTCTATAGGATTACTCCTGATAACACATACTATGTAGTGTTTGCAGGATTGGGCACCTTGTTTGTGTTTGAAATATTCAAGCACGGCTAGTTAGTTTAATTAAACAATCCATTCTAGTTTTGGACTACCTACTGATCTTGCACCGTGTTTCAATTTCAGATCTTCATGCTATAATACAGTTCTTAACTTGGATCTTTGCTTTGCTTTAGACTGAATGAACAAGCAAGCGAGGAAATTTTGAAAGTAGAACAGAAATACAACAAACTCCGCCAACCATTCTTCCAGAAGAGGTCAGAACTGATCGCCAAAATCCCAAACTTCTGGGTAACAACATTTGTCAACCACCCACAAGGTATGCTCCCAGTGCTTTGGGTAGGGTGTCACAGAAGTTAGTTACATTATATGCCTTTTTAATCCTTTACTTGAGAAAATTGCCCTTAGATTTTTGTTTCCCCGATTTACAACATTGGCTTCTGTTTGAATATATGCCTAGAATTTCCTGTAGAAGTGATGATGCTATCAAAGAGAAGCCATTGATCTCTGTTGTCTGAAAGATTTTCTTTCATTTACGTTTCTAATACAAAAACAAGCTTGACCGCCATTATACTTTTTATCAACTCCTTAAGTAGAAGAAAATGCATATTCAACAATCTTCTCAGTGCTATTTTATGGACTGTTGCAGAGTGTACTTGATAGTGACCTCTTGAGAACTGAGTGCTGGTGATCTTGTGAACTTACTGTAAAGTGGGCAGGGATCAACTTTCTGTGACAGTTTCTTATGTTTGCTGCAAAAAAACCTGGATAAGTTCCTTTGTAATGCAAGGTTACTAATTCTACCATAGTATCTGCACTGTTGGGGGAAGAAGATGAGGAGGCACTGCATTATTTGACCAGAGTTGAAGTGACAGAGTTTGAAGACATCAAATCAGGTTACAGAATAGATTTTGTGAGTATCATGGACAGTCTTCGTTTACTGTTGTGCCATTTTTATTTGCTTGTAATATACGTCAGAGCAATAGCATAACTTAGTATTTCAAAACTTACCATATATGTTATTTAAAAATGTTATGCTATTGGCAAATATGTAATCCAACTTTTATTCTTTCCATTCTACAGTATTTTGACGAAAATCCGTACTTTGAAAATAAAGTTCTTTCCAAAGAGTTTCATCTGAATGAAAGTGGAGATCCATCTTCAAAATCAACTGAGATCAAATGGAAATCTGGGAAGGTATGTATCTGAAAGGGGAGGATGGGCATTAAATTGTTGCTCCACTTGAAACAGTGGCAATGACTGCTATGCTGAACTACTATCTAAGACGGGTGGGGGAAAAAGGGCCTCTGCAGGCTGGATTCGGCCTGCCAAGTGGGTTGATCCAGCCAACAGAAGCCCTGTCACTCCCCCCACCCCCAGGCTGATCAGGGCCTAGGAATGAGGGAGCGTGCAACACTTAGTCAACCCTGGTGGTTGACTCTTAAGCCCTGCATGCCTGAGGGCAGGGAGTGAGAAACTTTGAACCACCACCCCAGAGCTTGGGGGTGAGGGGGGGAAGCGCACAGTCTCCTCCTGTCCTGCAGGGAGCATGCAGCACTTTGAAGCGCCATGCGCTTCTTGCAGGGACGGGGCAGGGCGGGAGGAGACTTCGCATGCTTCCTTGCCTCCAGACTCTGAATAGCCTGGGTGCAGGGGAGTGCGTGAAGTCTCCTCTGTCCCTGCAAGGGGCGCAGTGCTTCTAAGTGCTGTATGCTCCTTGCAGGAACAGGGAAGACGTTGCATGCTCTCCCCCACCACCAAGCCCTGATTGGCTGGGGGATGGAGAGGAGCATGTGAAGTCTTCTTCCAGAAATTTTTGAAGTGGCCCTTGGTCAAAAATTATTGCCCACCCCTGATCTAAGTGCTTTGATGCAAATCCTCCCCTCTTTCCCATCCATACCTCCTAATGAACCCTAAAACTGTGGTCAGATTGCATGTATGCTGAGACTTGTAGTTAGTTCTTTTACTTTGCGGCAAATCAGTGGAAGATGAACTGTCAGTATTTTTACAAGCTTATCAGTCAACTGCTAGTAACAGGTCTAGAGATCACTGCCAAATGTGTGGTTTAAAAAGAAAACAAAGCCCCGCTAGCATTCTCAATGTTTTTAGAGCATTCTCCCATTATTGATCTAACATCAGTGCTACATTTCTCATTAACAAAGGCTTAATTTAAACTTCAGATTACCCCTACCTTTCCAGTTGCAATATTATCATTCTGCTAAACATTCTGGTAGCCACTTGGTCTTTATAAAGACCCTCATAATTTTTTTTAATCTAATGAATTGTTTGGCCTGTTTCTGTCTATATAGTTAATGGGTTTTTTTGTAGTTCATAAATTACATGTATATGTTGTGGAATTTCTGAATTGGGAGCTGGTTTCCTGGACCTCAAAAAATTAACTGCAATATTGCAAATGAGTCAGGTTGGATCTGTTGGAAAACAGCATCACACCTCAGTAAAAATGTCAACATTTTCCTCTGGTATGCTGTAGGAATACTAAATTGTGATTAATCAGCTGATCGAGTAATTGATGGCATTTCTATTGCTTAGTTGATAAGGGGGAGGGGCACATGTTACCCTGTGTTACGGCTCTGCCGTTTAAATGTAGTAGGAGCTGGTCATGAAATGGCATTAGCTCCTGGGGCCAGCATAAGCCGGGACTGAACAGTCCTGGGGCCAGGACACTGTGGCTCTTTTTCTCTCTCACTGTAGACCAGTGTTTTCCAATTTTGTGGCCGCAGAACCCTTTTAAACTCAAAAGAATTTTGCGGAACCCCTAATAAGTCTAATATATGGAGCTGAAAAAGTAGACCACAAAAATGTAAGGAGGGTAATAAAAAAAATCCTAAACAAGGTCATGAGATCAACATTTAGTTTAAATTTTCACATATTAAATCAAAAATCACATCATACTATTTTTTAAATTATAAAATGTTATTGTAATGGATTTTTCATGTGGAACCCTTATTTTCACTTCTCGGAACCCCTTGGGAAACACTGCTGTGGACAGTGCTAGAGGGAACCAACTTTTAAGCTGGCTTTCCCCAGCGCCAACTTCTGCTCCCTTGCATACCTAGTATACTGGGGTCTTCAAGCAATAACTTGTATACTGCAAAATGTATCTTATGATCAGTCAGCTAATTATTATAACAAGCTGAGTTATTGCTGTCCATACAGTTGTATAAGCAAGTGTACCCCGAGCAAAGCATCTCAACAAAACATGCTAGAAATCCATACACATTAAGTAACTAAGGAAAAGCTGTCCAGAATTAGGTCTGGATAGTCGCCTGTTTTCCAGGTGTATAAGATAGGACTTGGCAAAGAAGTACGGTTAACTCGCTGTATCCTTGCTAGTGAATGTTATAGTAGTTTAAAAGTGTATTGTCCCCGTCCCCCCAGTAATTTCTTCAAATGAAATTTAAAAGGGAAAAACTGCAAGGATAAAGTCTTAAATCATTATTTTATATATTTGTGAAAACAAAAAGATGAATCCATCCTGTAAAAGAGAGGGGAGAGAAGAGCTTCTTAAATTGCTTGTGTTTAATGTGAGCATTTAAATAGTTTTCACAAGTCTTTGAAATTAACACTTCAGTTAACAGTTTGAGTTACCTCTTTGCCACTCAGGCTGGGAGCATTAACAAAGGTCAACAGATACTCTTTTGAATTGTCAATATTTCAGTGGAGAGTGAAACGGAGAGAACTTATATTCTGAAGAAAGAAGCAAAAAGACTTAAAATGGAGGGGCGGAGGTATTGAAATTGGTCCTGTATATGGGAAATTGTTGCTCGAACTCATTGCTATGTGGTGTCAATTGGTGCATCCCCCTGAGGTGCTGTATAATCTCTCTCTCAATACTTGTTCTTTTTCAAGGAGAGGTGTGTACGTGGTTATGTAGACAAGCAAGTCTCCAAATACATCTTGTGAAACATGTTCAGGAAATTTTTAGGAAGAATTCTTAAAATTTGTCCCTTCTTTTTCAGGACCTGACAAAGCGCTCAAGTCAGACGCAGAACAAGGCCAGTAGGAAGAGGCAGCATGAAGAACCGGAAAGTTTCTTTACTTGGTTTACTGACCACTCTGATGCAGGTGCTGATGAATTAGGAGAAGTCATCAAAGATGACATCTGGCCAAATCCGTTACAATACTACTTGGTAAGTATAGAGTTGAGTTGTTTGTTACAGACTTATTGTGGATGTCTCAGAATTAATTTGATCAATGCAGTAACATTGTACATGTGTTTCTAATTAAGGTTCCTGATATGGATGATGAAGAAGGTGAAGGAGAGGAGGATGATGATGATGATGAAGAGGAAGAAGGGTTGGAGGATATTGATGAAGAAGGAGATGAAGATGAGGGGGAAGAAGATGAAGATGATGATGAGGGAGAAGAAGGAGAGGTGAGAACTCTTTTTTGATACCCAAATTAAAGGGGTAAATAGATCCAGTTTAGGAATGTTAGGAATTAACCGTTTAACCAGTAAGCTGATGTGCATCCGTTAAATTCAGCCTCCAAAAAAGGTGGCTTCACTGCGGTAGGGTAGCAAAGCCTCTTCTCTAGGAGCAAGGAGGGCAAGGGCTGGCAGCACTGCTCCTGGGAAGGAGACTTCCCTGCTGCCCCCTTCTTGGAGACTTCCCAGCTTTGCTGCAGGCTGTGCAGTATAAAACCAATCTTTATACTGCAGAGCCTTCAGCACATGTAACTGCTAAGATTTTTAGCAGCTACAGTTAATGTATTAAATACTTAACATTCCTAATCCAATTAGGAAGCCCTGATCTAGGAGCAGCATGGAATAGTTTAATAAATTTTCAGGCATTATTGACAGTCTTTGCTATTTGCTGTTGTGTTTTTCAAAGGGGAGTTTTCATAGGAGATAACCGGCTTTGACAACTTAAGCAATAATTTCAGTGAACTGAAGTGGTGTTTGGGGAAAAAAGTATTGCCTTAAATTGGAGACTAATAACTTTATTTAGGAGACTGGCAAAAATGAGGAAAAGTGATTTGTGTTACACCCCATTCATCCAAAAGCCTGTTTTTTTCCTTCATCAAACTGATGTTTTTTATTAGTTACTGGCCAGTTTTAAACCCTAGTCCATATATATAGATTTTTATGTGCCCCGTTTGACCATGTTCCACCTACTATCTAGTTTACTCTGGACTATTGCCAATTTTTCTGTGTACATGTCCTCATTTTGGGAGTGTTTAGGGACTTCCTTCTCACTTCTGCTACTCTCTCAGTCCCCAGTGATTTAAAGTTTGGAATTTGGAATCAATTCTCGCCCAATAGCTGGGAATGTTGCATTGTTCGTTTATTATAACTAATTTATTAATCACACTTGGCTTTTGTTGTTGAAGTACATGAAACTTCCTTTTGAGACAGACAATGGAGAAGGCTTTGGATGTTATCGCACTTAGACAAAAAAGGGTTTGATTTTAGGTGCAGTAACTAAGCTCTACTGAGCAATATGCTTCATATCTAAATCAGAGGTGGGCAATAATTTTGTACCAGGAGCCATTTCAGAAGTTTTTGAAGTGGCCCTGGCCACCATAGAAAAGGGGTGGGATCAGGTCACTTCCATGTTTCCCCTCCCACGGACCCTGATTGGTCTGGGAGTGAGGGGAGATCATGAAGTCTTTTTTCTCTCTCTCTCTCCCCCCCCCTTCCCCCCCCCCCCTCCAAACCTGAGAGAACTATCAACTGTTCTGAACAGCTGGCTGGTCCCTCTAGGTGCTTTCTCCTAGAGGTAAGAGACTTTACATGCTCCTCCCACCCCCAGGTCAATCAGGGCCTGGGGTTGGGGGGAGCACATGAAGTCTACTCCTGCCCTGCAAAGGGCACACAGTACTTAGAATCAACTCTGGTGGTTGACTAAGCGCCACTGGCAGGACAGGAGACTTCACACACTTCTCCATCCCCAGGCCCTGATTGGCCTGTGGCTAGTGGAGTGGCAGGGCATCTTTGGCCTGGATTTAGCCAGCGGAGTACCTTTTGCCCACCCCTGATATAAATAGTACAGCCGCTCCCCAAATTACGAACAAGTTACGGACCAACACTTGGTCTGTAACTCTAAGTGTTCGTAACTCGGATCCCATAGAGTTACATAGCGACCGCGCTGTGAATAGCGCGGATCGCCATTCGTAACTCAGATCCGCATTTACGACTGCTTTGGTCGTAAGTGCGGATGGTCGTAAGTGGAGGTGGTCATAACTCGGGGAGCGGCTGTATTTCATTTAATAGGTTCATTGAAATCTTGAGTGTTCTAGATTATTTTAGACTTTTTTTTTTAAACTGCTCTTTAAGATTGCCTATTCAAAGCTCTGGGCACCCTTAGCATTCTCTTCAATATTCACTAGCAAATAGTTCTGTCAGTTTTCATCCAAGTTGTATGTCCTAGCAATAACAGGGATATCTTATCAAGCATTACCTATTTCCATATGGAGGAGGAAGGAAACATGAGCTTTTCAACACACAGACTTACCACATCAGACTTTTTAGAATGACCAGTACTTCTGGATAATTGCTGTTTGAAAGTCAAGGCTGTCTGGAGTTTGAATGTAGTGACTCCTGTACCTTCCCTTCTCTTCTCCTGTCCCCCCGTCCCCTCCAAAAGTGACTAGATTTTAACTGTTGCTTTTCTTTTAACAGGAGGATGAAGGAGAGGATGACTAATTAAACACTGATGGATTCCAACACCCACCTCTCCTTTTCTTATCTTTTTAATTTTTCTCCAGTCCCTGGGAGCAAGTTGCTGTTTTGTTTTTTTTTTCCCTCCCTCCCCCTCCCCCTCCCCCTTTGTGCTCAGTCGCCTTGTTCTCTTGAGGTCTCTTTTTTTCTCTCCTCTACACCATGGCTCACAATTTATTTTTTTGAGGAAAATACCTTAAGCAGAATACAGTGGGAAAGAAAATCTATACCAGTTTCTGTTCCAAGTTCATTTTTATCCCTTCCTATCTCAAAACAAAAACTGTTTATGGAATCAACACACCATGTTCTGTGGGAAAAAAGAAAACCTTCTGCTCCCTTCACTCTGCTGGAAGCTGAAGAGTGCTAGGCCCCTGTGTAGTAGTGCATAGAATCTAGCTTTTTTCCTTCTTTCTCTGTATATTGGGCTCAGAGATTACAGTGTCTCTATGTGAATATGGACAGTTAGCATTTACCAACATGTCTGTCTACTTTCTCTTGTTTAAAAAAATTTAAAAACTAAAAAAAAAAAATGGGGTAGAGATGGTCAGCAAGGGTGGGTTTCAGATGTTTGGGTGGGTTAAGTGGGCATTTTGACAACATGGCTTCTTCTCCTTTGGCATGTTTATTGTGATGTTTAACAAACATCCTTGCAGTTTAAGATGACACTTTTAAAATAAAATCTTCTCCTAATGATGACTTTGAGCCCTGCCACTTGATGGAGAATCAGCAGAACCTGTAGGATCTTATTTGGAATTGACATTCTCTATTGTAATTTTGTTCTTGTTTATTTTTAAATTTTTTTTTTTTTTTTTTTTGGTTCACTGGAAAGGAAAGAAAGATGCTCAGTTTTAAACGTTAAAGTGTACAAGTTGCTTTGTTACAATAAAACTAAATGTGTACACGAAGGGACTAATGGTCTTCACTGAACAGAACATGATTTTTCTTGCTTTGTTTTCCCATATGTTAAACTTTGTTTGTAGTTTCCAATTTAATACCTATTGGTATGTGGTCAGTATGTCTGTATTTCAAGATAACCTCATGGCTGTATGGATTTAACCTAAATTCAGATTGTTAGATAGCTTTCATATGTGAAAAGTGTTTTAATTTAGGTGTAATTTGCCATGGATTATCTGATACTATCAATAAGTTGCTGTCAGACTGCCTATCGATCATCACTACAAATTGGCAGTCGTTACTGTAATCTGCGCATTGTTTCTCAGTTTGATATCTCCATGGGAATGAGTTGTGGTTACATCCTCTTATGTTAAATTAATGGAGTCTTTAAATGTTCCCCCTTGCACCAGGAAAAAAAATTACCTGATCCTCTAATAATAAAGACATTTGAAGATTTAAACACTCTCAATAGTGATGTAAATGAAATACCACATATCTCTGATCTCTAATCAGCTCTCTGAAAGACCATACAAACTCAGATTAAATGATCAAAGGTTAATGAGGGCCTCATATGCGATTGTTGTTTATAATCCATTTGGTAAATAGCTTTCTCAGTTGAGATGTTAAAACGGTTTCAATTACACATTCAGGGTGATTGTACTCTTCAAACACAAAAGAATCACAGTCCGCTAAATTATATCCCACAACGAAGTTATCTTGCATGTGGAGGTTGTATGGCACTTTCATTCCAATCTAAAAGTGATGCTGTTTATATTTTCAAATATGTGAGCTAATAAATTGTAGCCTGTTTGATTTTAAAATAGCAACTACCTAAAACTAACATTTGGAACAGCAAGAGATGGTGGGGTGAAACCTTTCTAGCAATAATTAGCATTTATACAATCTAAACAGGATGTCACAACTAACTTCATTTAAATGGGTATTATTAAAACTTGTATAGAACAATTTTAGTACTAAATCATTGTATTAACTGTCTTCCCTAATAATAGGTTCTCAAAACTGGGATCCTGTCTTCTGGGAAAAAGTTGTTTTAGCATGTCACAAAAGCATGTGTGGCATGTGTATAGTTTGTGATGCTAGAGAATTAGTGACATGGAATAATGTTCTCCTGAGTGGTGTTCCACACCTAAGTGCTAGGAGAGGCACTCCTTAAAAGATGACAGCTGCATTGGACCCAATGCCCCTAGTCCTTGTCTGTTTTTTGCATTACATTTAAAATAACACCATCTTTTAACCAGTTTAGAGCTAAAACAGATGCACTACATAAATGCATCTGTACAAGATGCAGGACAAGGTCAAATGCTACTAGATTCTAAATTGTGCTGATTTAGGGAGACATCTTGATGCTTTGAGAAGGAAAGTGCATATAAACTATCTCCCCCTTATATGGCAAGATATTAAAAGTTATATAATCTTGCTTTTCACCAGGACACACACAATAAAGCTGTACAGCTAATACCAAGAACAAAAATGGGGTAGGTGATCAAGTGCCCCTCCCAAGTTTGAAAAAAAAAATTGATTAGTACTAAACAAGTGGCAAAACAATCCCACAACTGTGCAAAGTGTTAGTTTAACTTCCTAGTGAAACTACTCTAAATGTCAATGAATAGTTGCAACAGCAAGAGTAAATAACCTTTGAATTAGGACTGTCAAGTGCTTAATAGTGCAATTTAAAAAAAATCAGGCTCTTAAACAATAGAATACCATTTATTTTAAATACTTTTGGATGCTTTCTACATTTTCAAATATTGATGTCAATTACAAAGTGTACAGTGTTCATTTTATATTTGATTACAAATATTTGCATTCAAACTGTATTTTGCAATTCCCTTCCTACAAGCACTTGCAGTGAAATCTCTTGTTAAAGTTGAACATACAGGCTACATCTAGACTGGCATGATTTTCTGCTAATGCTTTTAACGGAAAAGTTTTTCCGTTAAAAGCATTTGCGGAAAAGAGCGTCTAGATTGGCATGGACGCTTTTGCGCAAAAGTACTTTTTGCGGAAAAGCTTCCGTGCCAATCTAGACGCGGTTTTGCGCAAGAAAGCCCTGATCGCCATTTTCACCATCGGAGCTTTTTTGCACAAAACAGTTTTTATCTGTCTGCACTGGCCCTCTTGCGCAAAATACATTTGCGCAAGAGGGCTTTTTCCCGAATGGGAGCAGCATAGTATTTGCGCAAGAACACTGACAATTTTACATTAGATCGTCAGTGTTCTTGCGCAAATTCAAGCGGCCAGTGTAGACAGCTGGCAAGTTTTTCCGCAAACCGGCTGCTTTTGTGGAAAAACTTGCCAGTCTAGACACAGCCACAATGTACAACTATGCACAAAAAATAACTGCATTCAAAAGTAAAAAAATCCTCTCAGTCCAACATTTTAATCAGCCAATCACTCAGATATGTTTGGTTACATGTAGCAGGAATAATGGTGCCTGCATCTTTTGTAAAATGGCATGTGAAAGTAAGAACAGGTATTTGCAAAGCACTGTTGTAGCTGGTTTTGAAAGATACTTATGTGCCAGATTTGCTAAATATTCATATGTTCCTTCATGCCTCAACCACCATTCCAGAGGACATGGGTCCATACAGATGATGGGTTCTGCTTGATAACTGAAAGTTGTACAGATTAATGCATATTAGATTTTGTTTTGGTGGTTTGGGTACTGTAATTTCTGCATTGGAGTGTTGCTCTTTTAAGACTTCTGAAAGCATGTTCCACACCTTCTCTTTGGATTTTTGGACAGTACTTCATATTCTTAAACCTTGGGTTGAGTGCTGTAGCTATTTTTAGAACTCTCACGTTGGTATCTTTGTGTTTTGTTAAATCTGTTGATAAAGCATTTTTAAAACGAATACCTGCTGAGTCATCCTCCAAGACTGCTATAGCATGACATATATGACAGCAGGTAAAATAGAGCAAGTGACATCCGCCAAAGAGTTCAGTCAAAACGATGTCAACAGTATGGAAGTATGTCTTCCAGAATGGTAACTGAAGCATGAAGGGGCATATGTGTGTTCTGCATATCTGGCAGAAAATACCTTGCCAATGTTGACTACAAAAATGCCATGTGAAAGCCTGTTCTCACTTTCTTGTGACACTAAGAAGCAGGCATCAGTGTTGCCCCCATCAATGTAAACAAATTTATTTGCCTTAGGGTATGTCTATACTGCACGGATATTTCGGGATACCGGAGGTTCCCTGCGTCTACACAAGCCACTATTTCAAAATTTTTCGGAATAATGGGTGCACTATTTCGCCATCCCCGTAAACCTCATTGCACAAGATATAAGGGATGGCTTGAAATAGTGTGTTATTTTGAAATTTGGCACTGTGTAGATGCGTCAGATTTCAAAATAAGCTATTAATAGTTTTGAAGTAAGATACACAAGTTGCGTAGTGCAAATTGTGTATCTTACTTTGAGTTTAGGATGATGTAGAACAGTTTCATAAACTTTTTTTGAGCTTATGGAACACCAAACGATTTTTTAATGCAGAACATCTATGAAAATTTTCTTAAAAAAAAATTCAGACAGACACAAAAACAAGTAAAAATGAAGTCGCAGCACACCTGCGAGGAGTTCATGGAACACCAGTGTTCTGTGGAACATGGTTTAAGAAACACTGCTGTAGAACAAACATTAGGACTGAGTGGACTTGTAAGGTTCTGAAGTTTTATATGCTTTTGAGTACACTTATGTAACCAAAAAAAATCTCCTTTTGTAAATTACACTTCCATGATAAAGAGTTTGCAAAACAGCATTTGTATGAGGTAAATTGAAAAATACTGTTTATTTTACAATGCATCTATTTGAAGTCAAAGGTAATAAACACTATATTTTGTGTTCTATGTTGTAATTGAAATCAATGTAGAAAAACATCAAACGTATTTAATACATTTCAATTGGTATTCTATTGTTTGACAGTGATGAATTGTGATTAACTCAAATATTGTGATTAGAAAATCAAGTGAGTTAACTGATTTTGACAGCCATACTTTAAATATTACTTTTGTTTTAGTAAAATTCATCAGCTAGTAGTGGAGAAAGTGTAATTAAAACACTCCAGATTTATAGCATTTAGTTGGAAAACATTCAGTTACTTATTTAAGATGTGTCCACTCTTTGACTTGTTTCATTAAGCTTAGTAAAAACTTGTAATTACTTATATAATACATAAAAACATACCCATCAGGTTAAGGGATAGTAATGTTCTTGTTGTAACAATGAGGGTCAAATACAAGCTCTGCCATTCTCATAAATTAAGACAGAAAGAGGGATCTCAAGAACATTTGTTAAAACATTTATTTTCTGGGGGTAAATTTTACCTTTAAACTCATAGCAGAAAATGTATCAATGCTTAGCCTCCTCAGTCCTACATGAGCTTCTCCATAGAGGTAGGAATCCTCCCACTTAAGCTACTGGAAGATGTCTTTAATCTTCCATTGTGAAAGAGCTTTCTGAGCTAATGGTTTAAAAATTGAAGCATTTAAAAAAGTTTTAGCACATGTATTTAACCAGTATGATATGAAGAAAACATGGAAAAGCTTCCATATTTTTCTTTGACATTTTATAGAGAAAGGAAAGAAGCATCTGCCACTCCTGTAAACTCTAATAGCAGATCTTTATTTTTTAATTAATCTCTCTGTGAAAAAAGACTGGCTTTCACAATCAGGCAGAATGGTGAGCCCTGAGTGATTAGAAATTGAGATCTATAATATTTGCTTTTTGTTTTGAACTTGCAGATACTTTCCAGTTCTGTTTGAAGAAACTACAGTACAGGCAGTCCCCGGGTTACATGGATCCGACTTACATCGGATCCCTACTTACAAACGGGGTGAGGCAACCCCGCACTAGCTGCTTCCCCCCCAGCCGGCCAGGGAGACGCGCAGCTAGTGCGCCCTTCCCCCCCCCCAGCAGACCTGGGAGATGCGGAGCGGCTTTTCTCACCAGACACCTCAGCTTGAGAATAAAGGACTGAGGGAAGTGAGGTGTGGGAGAATAAAACTGAGCTCTGGAGAAATGTTTGGCTAGAGTTTCCCCTACAATATGTACCAGTTCCGACTTACATACAAATTCAACTTAAGAACAAACCTACAGGCCCTATCTTGTACGTAACCCCGGGGACTGCCTGATCATTCAAAATACACCAAGCACCGTAGGCCATTACCTATTATTTTTAAAACCATAATTTTATGTTGTCTTGCAAAAAGATACCTTAATGCCTTTATTTCAGCTGTAACAAAACAGTTTTCAAGAAAGCATTTACTGTGACAGATTAAAACTACAGTTAATATGTATAAAGGTTAGTGAGGACTAATTAATTAAGATCCTAATCATGTGTCAGAGTCTGCTTCCAATTATGAAGTTCAGTTTTCTTTAATGGGACTGTGTACACTCATGTTGCTGCTGGCTCCTGGCATATAGGCTGTAATTAAAG